TCAATTACTATCATTTGTAATCGATTGATATCATCAATTAGCGAATGTAATTGATGATCAGTAATCAAAATTAGCATTGATTAATATCTATTTTTTTTATCAATCGATTGCTAACCAAAAATTGATGGTGATCGATTTTGGTTGGCAATCGATTGATAAAAAAAAAATTGATTACCATCGATTTTTTTTAATCGATGGTAATCGATTCTCAGTTGATAATCGATTGCCAATCTGGTTTAAAATTTCGTGATGAAGTCATTTGGATATAATCTAACACTTTATTATGTTTAGGATTCCAACCTTATCGTGACGGATGAATTCGTTGAGGATTCATATGATACCAAACAAATTCTATTGAAATCAATAATTGCTGAAGTTGGCGAAGAAAATGTTCGAGAAGTGTGGAAAATTAAAGACATGCGACCCGGAAATAGCAAACACTCGCATTTCGTGGTAGTGGTTAATTCTATTTCTTATCTATATTCATGCATGTCGAACATATCTCGTGACATCATCTGTCGTCATTATTTTTGGGTGATGATGTATTCAAAAGTCACAGGATTTCATATTCAAATGATACCTGTTCGGTGATATAATGATGAACAAAAAGACAAGGATATAATTATGAGTGCCTACTGTTTTGCAAATCAAGAATCGGCGAAGAATCAACTGAACGAAATACTAACGCCAAATCTCTCGATTATATCCAAGTCCGTGACGTGTGTTTTACGTCGTGCAGCACAACGAAAAGTCAAATATGGAGAGGTGTGGGAACTGGCGTGACATACAACCCAGCTTGTTGTTGATCACAGTGACCATAGTGAGATGGTGGCATGATTAAAAGAGTTCATTGGCCGGCACAAAGAAACAGTGGCTATACTTACCGGATCAGTGCGAAATTGAAATCTCCAAGAATCCCTCGAAATTCAAGCTAACGATAAAAATAAGGAAAATGAACCTGGATCAATTGAAAATTCATTAGTGTCAAGACGAAAGGGACGTCCAGAAACCAAACGTTATAAATCTGTGACTGAAAAAAAAGGAAAATCATGCACATACACCTGCGGTGCATGTGGTCAAACAGGACACAATAGCGTGACATGTCAAAATCGCTAGATATTTACACATTTTTTATTCATTCATTCTCTCTATTTAACTACACAACTCAAATTACATCTCTTTATTTAAATCACCATGATATATTTGACATCGCTAGTAATATGCATCAAGATTTAATTTTTCATCACAAAGATTTACTCCGTTATCAGAACATCATTCGGATGTTGGTAATGATACTAGTAGTAATATTAATAGTAATAGCGTTGTATCATCATCACTAACATTCAATCATTTTGCCCAATAAAAATTACAATAAGCGCATGATTATTATGTTTTCACCCAATAAAAATCATGATATATCACGTTTTTAATAATCAATCAAATAAAAATTCTAAAATTCTGACCCTGGTCAAACTGATTTTTTGAGATAGTTCCTGGAACAGGATGTTCCAATTAGATTTACCCTTAAACTTAATAGAATTATATAAATAATATATAAATATTTTAAACTCAACTAAAATAATAACAATATAATTTTTTATTTTAATTGCAAACTCATATTTATTTTAATTAATTTAATAAATAAATAATTAATATTTTATTTGTCTATAAATTATATTTAAAAGTATAAATATATTTATTTTTATAAAAAAGATTTCTGATCTCATTTTAGTTAATTACAAAAATAAATATATATTATTTATTTTTAATAATATTATTTTTCATATTTGAAATTTATTTTATATATTTCTTTCATATGTAATATATATATTTAAAAAAGAATAAAATAATAACAATATTTTACTTATTTATAAATTATTAATTAAGTTATAATCAAATTATCTTTTTATATTAGAAGTATTAAAAAGATTTTTTGAGCTCATTTTAGCTGCTCACAAAAACAAAATATGTTATTTATCTTTAGTAATTTAATCATAAAAGCTTTAGTTATTTTATTATTTTTTTATTTTTTTATCTGAATTAAATCGTGTAAATTACATGTTTTATATTTGAAGTTTTATAAAACATATCCAAATGAGAACACTATATGGACTTTATTATTATGAACTGTAATAAGTTAAAGAGGGGAAATTATCATATTGAAAGAACCAAATTATATTAACATCAATATCTAAATTATGTGATTTACTAATAAATTAGATTAAATTTATAATGTAATTGCAAGTGTTTTTTAATATTAATACTTTTTACATCAATTAACATGTTAATTTTTTGTTAATGCGGGAAAAGCCTGATACGCTTGTAACTAAATGTAAATGTCAATTAGTATCCTTCAGAATATCAAACAAATATTTACAATCCTTAACTATAAAAAAAATACATTTATCTATATAAGAGAAAACAAACCCTAAAAAATCAAATAATCTTTCGATTATAATATAATTGATTATATTAAATCCGTAACATTAAACAGTGCACTAACACTCTCTCCATTATGCATTCTCCTAATTGCCTCAGCAAATATCGGCGCAATATTAAACACCCGTATTTTTAGACATTGCTGCAAATGATCCTCTTGTGGGATACTATTGCTCACAATGATCTGATCTATTACACTGGACTGAATTCGTTTTATCGCATCGCCACTCATAATCGCATGTGTGATAATAGCATAGACTTTTTGCGCCCCGTTATCAACAAGTACTCTTGCAGCTTTGGTGATGGTGATCGACGTGTCTGCTATATCGTCAATTAGGATACAAACTTTGTCTTTAACGTGACCTACGAGCATCATGTCTGATTTGTGTGGTTGGTGCTGAGAGCGACGCTCTTTGTGAATAAGTGCAAAATCCATTCGCAGTATATCGGCTATAGCGGTTGCTCTAAAAGGTTTTTTATAACGTGAATGACGATTAGAGTGTCGCACCAATTATGTCAGAGTGTAAAATCATTATAGAGTGAACAGAAAGCCTAACCTTTTTGCACCACCTGCATCCGGAGATACCATTACAGCCTGTGCCCAATTAGGAATATTCTCTTTAATATATTTGATCATTAAAGGTTGTCCATACAAGTTATCCACAGGAATATCGAAAAATCCTTGGAATTGAGGGTCATGTAAATCCATTGTCATTATATGATCAGCTCCTATTACCATTACAATAAAGAATATTAAATTTTATTCATTAATTATAATATAAATTAATTCATCTACTAATTTTTTCTATGTACCTGCACACGTTAACAGATTCGCAACAAGTGTTCCGGATCGAGCAATCCAATGCTTATATCCACCAAACTGATTTGTTGGAGTTTGAGTACCACAATGACCAGATCTATTATTATCAGTTGGTGATATCGACGATGATGAACTATTTTCTTCAATTCGAGAAAGAGCTGCAGTAAATGGGTCCCTAGTTTCCACAGAAGGAGAAGGCGGCATAGAATTCACCGGTGTAGAATCAAAGGTATACCCAAAAAAAGCGTTCTTTGGAATCCGCGATAACATCGCCCCGTTTCTCTTATAAGGAGCGTCCGGTTGTCGCGCATACGGAAAACAAGGAATGACTGCAGTCACTCGTGCAGCAGACGCGGTTTTACACGCCGAAATCATAATCAAGAGTTCCATCAAATTATCGTTTACGTGACCACATCCCGACTGCACAATGTAAACGTCTTTCTCTCGTACACTTTCACGTATCTCGACATTTGTTTCTTTATTTGAGAATTTCGAGAGCTCTACACGCCCGAGTGGTTCGCCTAGGCGTGAGGCAATTTGCTCAGCAAGAATTGGGTGTGAAGAGCCTGCCTATAAAAAAATGCAAGTCTTTTAATTTCTTGTATGCATTGAAATTCTAAAAAGGGAGGAAGAAAGGGATATTAGAGAGTACTCACGAGTATTACTATGTTTCGCATTTTTATATTACTGTTGAAACGACATAGAATATATATTGATGTACTATCACTCAAAAGTGATTATCATCACAGGTTTTTTAGCAGGCAGGTGACACATGCGCGCTTGTACGTCAATTTAACGTCAAGTGGGACAATTGTCTAATTAAAAAAAAATCTATAAAATAGCCATCAAATCCCAGCACTTGACTTGTTTCAAAGATCTGATCTATATAGCAATTAAAACATAAATCATGGCGGTTGCACAACTGAAAGCAAAGGCTTGTCTTATTTGTATTGATGGCTGGGGTATAGCCGATGCTGACCACATTGATGGGAATGCTATTCATGCAGCTAACACACCGTGGATGGATAAATTAGCCAAAGAATATCCGTACACTACATTAAAAGCCCACGGATCGTCAGTCGGTTTGCCGGATGGTTTAATGGGTAATTCTGAAGTTGGACATTTGAATATTGGTGCTGGTCGCGTGGTTTATCAGGTAGTATTTAATTTGAGCTATCAAATAATCCTTTATTAGGATCTAATTAAATTATTAAAATTCAATTGAATATTTATTAATAAAAAGGATATTGTCAGAATTGATTTGGCCGTCAAAAACAAGGCATTTGTCAAGATCGATAACATCGCCAGATCATTTGACCATGCAAAGAATGGAAACGGGAGAATTCACTTTTTGGGTTTGGTAAAATATCTATATTTCAAATGTTATTTTCTGTTATCAAATTTCATTGTTTTGCTCTTTAATAATAAAAAAATCATAGGTCTCTGATGGTGGCGTGCACAGCCACATCAATCATTTATACCACCTCTTAGAATCGGCAAAAAACTATGGTGTACCCAAAGCTTATGTCCATTTCTTTGGTGACGGACGTGACACAAATCCTCGCTCATCAAACAAATATCTCGAGAAACTCCAGAATTATATAAATGATATAAATTATGGCGAGGTTGCCACTATCGTGGGTCGGTATTATGCCATGGATAGAGATAAGAGGTGGGAGCGTGTAAAAATTGCTTTTGATGCTTTGACCCTGGGGGTTGGTGAGAAATCTCGAAATCCGTTGTCGGTAAGATAACTTTTTTGTTTACAGTTCCTGATATTATTATGTTACTAGTAGTAATAATGTGATGGTCTTATTCACGTGGAAATAATATATAGACAATTGAAGAACGTTTCGGAAAAGACGAAACCGACGAATTCTTGAAACCTATAATTGTTTCCGATGAAGGACGTATTCGAGGTTGAATATTTTATTATTGCCTGATCTATCAAATAAATTGTGATTACCCTTACAATAATATACTTAAATATCACCTTTCTTCTTGTAATTTTAGATGGAGATACTCTGTTCTTCTTCAATTATCGTGCTGATCGTATGCGTCAAATTGTGCAAACTTTTGGAATATCACCACCGCCATTTGAAGCAGATGTTCCGAAAAACATTGCAAGTTTTTTTTTAATTTGGTTTCCATTTGCCATTTCCATTTTCTATATTAAATTCTCAATAAATGTAGGATATTACATGTATGACCAAATATAAAAGCGAATACTCATTTCCTGCTGCGTTTCCTTCACAAATCATGGACAATGTTTTAGCAGAATGGCTTGGAAAGAACAAGATTCCACAATGTCACTGTGCAGGTATTATCAATTGTCACTTTCACCTACTGTTCGTACTAAGATTGTAGTTACCATCAAAATTCCAACGAATTACTCAATTCACCACGCCACATAGAAACCGAAAAATACGCCCACGTAACCTTCTTTTTCAACGGTGGCGTTGAAAAACAATTTGATCTCGAACACCGCGAACTAATTCCCTCCCCCAAAGTTGCAACCTACGATCTAAAACCCGAAATGTCAGCCGCCGGAATCGCCGACAAAATGATTGAACAAATCTCATCTGGCAAGTTTCCGTTTGTGATGTGTAATTTCGCGAATCCGGATATGGTGGGACATACTGGTGTTTACAAGATGACGGTGAAAGCTGTTGAGGTTACTGACGAGTGTATTGGACGTATTTATGAAGCATGCGAGACGCATGGGTATACCTTGTTTGTTACTTCTGATCATGGAAATGCGGAGCAGATGGAAGATGATAAAGGGAATCCTCATACTGCGCATACTTGTAATCCAGGTAAAATTTTCTGTTTTAGTATTTATTATGGTATTATTTTATTAAATGTTATTCATTGTTATTCTGTATAGTTCCATTCATTATGACATCAAAAACTTACAAATTTGTGGAGAACGCCGATGGAGCTTTATGTAGTGTTGCTCCCACAATTTTAGATGTATTGGGTCTTGAGATTCCAAAAGAAATGGATGGTGGATCACTTTTGACAAAATAATTTAATTTAATAGATGATAGATATAGAATTTACTATTCATTTGTTTATTTATTGTAATTTGAATGATTTTTCGATCGTTTAGCATCTCTTGACACATTGATTGCTTCTAATATTTAATATTAAAGCTATGTACTTTTCTGTCAATATAACACGTCCAATGTTTTACATATAAATTAAACCCAATCGCAAGAAATCTTGACAGATATACGATTGCTTTACCATGCAGTTAAACATAAAGAACTCGCTTTTAAAATTGTATGTAATCCATGTATGGATCATCTGGTGAACCCAATCGATGATGAATGCCAAATAAGATTTTCATAATTTGACTGGAAGATCATGCCATGGCTATGAAAACGCGTCCCTTTTAAACACCATATCGATATTGTCTGAAGGTACAAAGGAGAGATTGACTTCATCACAGAAGCTTAACGATAAGTTCGAACGCATGGTGATAAGTAAGTTTCCAAAATACGTATCCAACACCTCAATAACTAGGGTAAAATGACTTCGAGTCTTCCAAAAGTTGGTGTCTGATTATGTAATCACTTGGAAAAAACCTGTCCTATGACTGATCCTTCAGACCACAAAAAATAATTCAAAGCCGAAATGGACGCGTTTCTGAATTTTCCCGAGATAATATTTTTGTTTCATGTAAAGAATTTTAACTACTAATAGTATAATTTCATCTGCCATCTAATAAATATTACATTTTCTACTCTAATATTACTGCAATAATAATGATAACGCATACTCTCATAATAAAACCAATATTGCCCTTTGGTGGTGCTCGAGTTTTTCAAAAGTCTATTTGTAATCGCGGGCACCATACGTTTTTCACATCTAGTAGTAGTAACTTGCAAATCAACAAAAATCGTCATTGGAAACAGCTACAGCAGCAAAGGCGAGGGATCTCAAGTATAATAACAACAAAAGCAGAAAAATTAAAACAAAAAGCAGAAAAAACTAAACAAAAAGCAGAAAAAACTAATAAAAACACTAAAGATAAAGCAGAAAACACTAGCAGCATTATCAATAACATTAACAATAATGATATAGTACAAGCTGGCGAAAAAAGTAGGTGTGGGTTTAGAGCAAAAAAATAAAGAAGCACGCGCCCAGGATTCTTTAGTATCGATAAAGTGCTGACCAAGTCAAGTAACTCCCAGCCCTGTCCAACTAAGTGAATAGTCAAAAGTGTATGTGTGTATTTTAGGCTAGTTATCTCGTTATTCAAGGTAAACTATAACAACAAACACGCTTGCTTGGTCAGCGCTTTAAGATAGTTTTCAAGTTTTGAGAGAGTGTGGGTTTTGTATATATACTTGTCATTCATTATCATCAATCATCTTTTTCTCACACTTTAAAAAAAAAATAGGAATAATCAACGAATTCGGAGTAGAAATGCTCCCAGACTGGCTATACAATCAAATCTTTCGCCGTGAAGCCCGCCCAAAAATGTCTGAAGAACGTCTCCAACTAGCCAAAGACCATCTAAGCAAACAAGGATTAGCCGACAAGGAAGCTGACGCGTTAAGTCCGTTACAAGAATTCAAGTTACCCAACTTGTGTGGGAGCACAATCGCCGAACATTTTCTAAAGATTGGCGAGAAACAAACGAGACCTGTTCGTGAATTGGCGATTCGGTTCGCAGAGTCGGTGTTGCCAGATGTACCGAAAAATTGGGAGTTTAAGGCTGGTTGGACACGGTACACGGGAGATGGTAAAGAGCCGGAAAGTGTAGAATATCCGGACGAGGAACTGTTGTGTTTTGATGTGGAAACGTTGTTAAGTGATAGTCCTTTTGCGTTGATGGCTGTTGCGGCTTCACCAGACGCTTGGTATGGATGGGTGTCGCCACAATTAACCGAATACGCAGATAATAAAAAAAAAGAGTCCATTAAAAAGTTATCGAATCCGGATGACTCTGTAAATAGTATCAGAAAAGGACGCTTAATTCCTATTGGCAAATTACAAAAAAATCGAATAGTAGTTGGGCATAATGTCGGCTTTGATCGAGCGCGTATCAAAGAAGAATACCATCTCGATCCCACGAATACATATTTCTTGGATACAATGGCGTTGCATGTCGCTGTCAGTGGTCTCTGCTCACAACAACGTCCCTCCTGGATAAAATATGACAAAGCAGCCGCCGCCAATGATAGCATATATCTGGAGCAGGCGCAAGATTTTCAAGCAGTCTACGACGTAAGTTCTTTGAATAATTTACGGGATGTCTACAAATTTCATTGTTCAGAGATTTTGGATAAATCGGCACGTGATATGTTTGTAAGTGGGACAATGGAAGAGATTAGTGACTTGGAAAACTTTCCAACACTAATGAATTATTGTGCAACAGATGTACTTGCTACACACAGGGTCTTCAAAAAAGTGTTACCGCGATTTTTGCAGACATGTCCGCATCCAGTATCATTTGCTGGGATGGTTCACATGGGAAATATGTTTTTGCCGGTGAGTTGTGACTGGGACGATTACTTGAAAAGTGCAGAAGGTGTTTTCCAAGAACAAACCAGCTCAATCGAGAAGAATTTATGTGAATTGGCATGGGCTGCTGTGAAACTAAAACCGGAGGAAGCGATGAAGGATCCTTGGCTTCAACAGTTGGATTGGTCGCTTCCATCCTTGCGAAGTAGGAAGCTTCCCGATAAGCCAAATTGGTATCGTAATCTATATAACGCACGAACGGGAAAAATTAAAATAACGGTTAGAACCCTCATAGCACCACTATTGCTTAAACTGAAATGGCTAAATTATCCGTTATACTTTTCCCAAAAATATGGTTGGATGTATCGAGTGCCTAAGGAAGATACTCAGTATCAAACTAAAGCGAAACAATGTACATTTCAGACAAATCCTGAAGAGCCAGACTATGAAGAACGGTTTGCTCAAGATGAAGGAGCGCGATATTATAAAGTACCGCATAAAGACGGGGAAGCAGCCAGGGTTGTGAATCCTATGGCAAAAAATTTTGTATCGGCTTTTGAGAATGGGATTTTGAGTTCAGAGTATCCAGAAGCGCGTAATGCACTCGGTATGAATGCTGCATGTTCTTATTGGATAAGTGCGAGAGAGCGTATACAATCTCAAATGGTAGTGTATCAAGGTCATCCCGATATCAAGGACATTGGATTCGAAATGGACGATGGAAAACTCCCGGGAATGATTTTACCACAGACTCTAACCATGGGCACTGTAACTCGCCGTGCCGTAGAAAAAACATGGTTGACTGCAAGCAACGCAAAAGAAAACCGAATTGGATCTGAATTGAAAGCAATGGTTCAATCACCTAAAGGCTACAAAATTGTAGGTGCAGATGTAGATTCTGAAGAGTTGTGGATTTCTAGCTTAATTGGAGATGCACAATTTGGAGCTCACGGATCAACAGCCTTGGGATGGATGACATTGCAGGGTACAAAGAAAGCTGGTACCGATCTACATTCGAAGACTGCGTCAATTTTAGGGATTTCTAGAGACAGTGCCAAGGTTTTTAATTATGGCCGAATTTACGGGGCTGGATTGAAATTCGCGATTCAAATGCTTCGACAATTCAACGAGAATATCGAAGAGGCGGATGCTCAACAACGAGCTGAGAGTCTGTACAAACAAACAAAAGGCGAAAAATACTATGTTAATAAAGAAGCCAAAACATTATGGTATGGTGGCACTGAGAGTTACATGTTTAACGGCTTGGAAAGAATCGCCACGAATGTCGAGCCAAAAACTCCCGTGTTGAAATGTGGCATAACAGACGCGCTGAACTCTAAAGTTGTTAATCGTAATTATATGACCTCTAGAGTTAATTGGGTCGTGCAATCTTCCGGTGTAGATTATCTTCATCTGCTGCTTGTCTCGATGAAGTACTTGACTGAAAAGTATGGCATTTGGACAAGATTTTTGCTGTCTGTGCATGATGAAGTGCGGTTTCTTGTCAAAGAAGAGGATAGTTATCGAGCCGCATTGGCATTGCAAATTAGTAATCTATGGACTAGAGCTATTTTCAGTTATATGCTTGGAATCGAGGATTTACCTTCGGTTGGTTGTTTTCTTATTTTATTATATGTAATTGAAGAAAGCTTTGACGTGTCGAATTTCTGATAATTAATTTTTAAAATTATCTCTTCTAAAAACAAGTCAATCGCATTCTTCTCAGCGGTGGACATTGATCATGTACTTCGAAAAGAAGTAGAAATGAACTGCAAAACATTGTCACATCCCTCAGAAATTCCTCAAGGTGTAAATATCACGATACAAAACCTCCTAAAAAAACAGAAAACATTATATCGTGAAGACAATGAACCCGATAACTACAACAACGAGGACCTATCAACCTATGAAATATCCAAAATGCCGAGTTTATACGCCAAACTTTTAGTGCAACAGCAACCGTCTAAAGATGAGGTATTTCTAAAAGCACAATCATGCATGAGTAGCAGCGAAATTGACCAAGAATACAAAAAACCGCGGTATACCGACAATTCGGAATCTAAAAAAGGGTATGGCAATTATAGTAATGGTAATAATGGGTCTAATAAAGTTGCTATTGAAAAAAATAAAAAAATCTATTTAGAAAAACAATCCCGAGCACTTTATGATAGTTATGATGAGGAGCAATTTCGACGACAGAATAATAATTATAATCAAGAACAAATGAACCTGGAATCATCACCATCATCATATTATAATTACAATCACAATCAAGAACAAATGAATCTGGAATCATCATCATACGATAATTACAATCACTATCAAGAACAAATGAATCTGGAATCATCGTCATATTATAATAATTACAATCAAGAACAAAGGAATCTGGAATCATCATCATATTATAATAATATGTCATATAATAATATATTATATAATAATGAAATATCATATAATCATGATAACAATTTATCCAACCAAATACATGCATCACAAGAAGACAATGAACAATATGGTCTTCATGAAAACCAAACAGAATCCGCTTCGATAGATTGGGGATATACACAAGAGTCGAATCAACAACTACATGTTAACTATATAAACAACAACAACAACAATAATAATAATACAAGTTCACAGCAGCAACAATCTAACTATCCTGACTATCAGCAACGGTATAATCATAACAATAGCTCACAGCAACCAGCTTGTGAACGGCATAATAATTATATGGTTAGTACAGATAATAATAGTAATAGTAATATTAATATGTATCGAAAAATTCTGCGGCAACCAAAGTTCAGTATCGCTACGAAGAAAACGATGTCAAATAAAAATACTAACAACTATAATTCACAAAAGTCCAATCTTATATATCCTCAAAATAATATAACCAGCAGCCGTTCAATAATAAATCAAGATGATTCACCTTCATCATTAGACGTCCTACATATAACTTCTACTTGTAAGTATAAGAGAATCACAGGTAAACGATTGGCAAAGGTCACGGGAACGGGCGAATTAGCACAACTCAAACCATTATCAGCCTCGAAACCAAAAAAGTTTCTTGGAAAGAATCTTAACTTTCAGTATTCAGAGTGATTTTGGTTATATGTTATCGTTATTTGCGTTTTGTAAATATATTGGTTTAAAACATTTTGATTCTGTGATTTATCAAGGAATTAAACATTTGCTTTCACGTTAACCTAGAAATTTTAATCTTTTGAGTGCCATAATGCATATCAATTTCCAAACATATATATGCATTGCCCTTATGTAGTAATTGATCGTCAATGAAATTGAATATTGGTTAACATAAACCAAAAATATCACCGATGGAAGAATTCGAGGACAAAATATTTATAAAAGACCTCGTAGTTCATACCGTCCTTGGTGTAAACTCTTGGGAAAGAGTAGAAAACCAACCCATAATAGTTAACATTACAATTTTCGCAAATGTCACAAAAGTTGGCGAAACTGATTTCATCTTACCACAGTCGATAAACTACGCGTTTGTATGCGAAAAGGTGCAAAAGTTCGCCGCCGAAACGTCAGACTACAAGTCTATCGAAGCATTTGCAGACGGTGTTGCTAAAATTTGTATCGTAGAATGTAATGCCCCAAAGGTTACGTTAAGTGTCGAAAAACCTCGTGCGTTGTTGCACGCGTCTTCTGCCGGTGTGAGAATTACGAGAACGAAACAAGATTATAATCTGGCAAAAGACTCGGAGGATTCTGCATCGAAATTGTCATCGTTGTCTACTGTGCGCGAGAAAGATACTATTTTTGTTAAAGATTTGAGACTTAATGCGATTATTGGTGTTGATCCTTGGGAACGTGAAGAGAAACAAACAGTTGTTTTTTACTTGATTATTTATCCGAATGTTTCAATTAGCACATTTTCGCAAGCTCATATTCCGAGGTCACATAATTTTATCACGACTGTAAGAACGATTTCTAAGGTGTGTCTTTGATTTTTGTTTAGCGGACAATTATTAGTCGATTGCTTTGAAATTGAGATGAATAAACATATCATAATTGTATGATTCACAGTGTGTGGAAGAATCAAATTATAAAACAATAGAAGCCCTGGCAGCAGCTGTTGCTAAAGTAGCAATAGTCGAATGTCATGTCAACAAGATTTCAGTACGTGCTGAGAAACCAAGCGCATTAACACTCGCAAATTCGGCAGGCGTAGAGATTACAAGAAGTAGAGCCGACTTTTATCTGCCACGATTAGATTCTGTAAAACAAAATGATATTATTGCTAGTAATATTGGATATAATCATTTGGTGTTCATTGCACTAGGAACAAATTTAGACAATACTATTGATAATATTAATCAAGCGCTACGAGCATTAGAAATAAAGGGTAATTGTAAAGTATTGGATACTTCGTTTTTGTATGAGACTATACCGATGTATGTTACTAACCAGCCAAGATTTTTGAATGCTATGTGTAAGGTGAGTTTCTCGTGTCTCTTGTTTTGGTTTTCCTTTTTTTCCTCCTTTGACAATTGCTTACCTGATTTTTCTAAGGCTGTGACTGATTTAAATCCTGAAGCCCTGCTTCAAAAACTTAAAGCGATTGAAATAGATATGGGAAGATTTGATAATTCCACCATAAGAAATGGTCCAAGAATCATCGATTTAGATATAATCTTTTATGATGACATTGAATATTCTTCGCCTACTCTAAAAATACCGCATCCGAGAATAACCGAAAGGGAATTTGTATTGAGACCTTTATGCGAGTATGAATTTTTCTTATAGTTTTCATAATTATCACAATTCGAATTTTAATTTTTTTTTATATAGTATTGCCAAAGAATTCGAGCATCCAAAACTGTTTAGACCTTGCAGCCGTTTGCTCAGTCAATTGCTGAAATCGCCCGACTACGTGCCAGAAGCAAACAATATAAACAAAGTGATATTTATTCGTGAAACACAATGGATATGGAAATCTAAAACATTTATAATGGGTGTATTGAACGTCACTCCTGATTCTTTTAGTGATGGTGGATTGTATAATACGATTGATAAGGCCGTTGCGCAAGCCGAGAAATTAATTGCTGATGGCGCAGACATAATTGATATTGGTGGGATGTCGACAAGACCCGGCGCTGATGAGATTACGGCAGAAGAAGAATTGTCGCGAGTATTACCTGTTATTCGTGCAATTAGAGAAAAAGGCATCACTGATATACCTATCTCAATTGATACCTTTCGGGCTGCAGTAGCTGAGAAAGCGATAGAGTGTGGCGCTGATTTCATTAACGACGTATCTGGTGGAACACGAGATCCCGAAATGTATTCAATCATGGCAAAATGCAATGTACCCGTCTGTCTTCAACATATGCGTGGGACCCCAAAAACAATGGGTAAACTAAGCAATTATGACAATGTAATTACAGATATTTGTCGTGAACTTGGAGAGTGTGTCAATTCAGCCCTTAAAGCTGGTGTGAAACGATGGAATATAATAATCGATCCTGGTATTGGATTTGCAAAAAATTATGAACAAAATTTTCAAATTTTGCGAAAATTGCCCGACATCATCAGCGAGAAGAGTCCACTCAAAGGGTTTCCTTGCCTTGTTGGACCTTCTCGGAAGAGATTTATCGGGTGGGCGAATCAACAAGTTGAAGCGCAGGATCGTGTGTGGGGTACTGCTGCTGCGTGTACTGCTTCTATCAGTGGTGGTGCGAATATTTTGAGGGTGCATGATGTTACGCAAATGTTGGAGGTTGTTAAAGTTGCGGATAAAATTTGGAGAAAGACATAGTTATTACATTACCTAGAATTGAATTCCTCAAATTCAGAATATAAAGTAAACCTTGATACACCGATACTCCGTTATAACGATGGCACTTATAAAATTCCCTTCGGTATAACGATTTTTTCGATGATATTTGCAGAATCTTTTACTAATTATCCTGAACATATCGAGGTTAGACTGCATTTATTCTTTATTATATTATAACAATTTTTTTGTATGCGATGTTTATAAAGCTAAAAAATTAACATCTCCAAATTTATTAAAGAAAATTACGGTTAATAAATAGAAAAAACTAATTGTCTTATTTCAATTTTCTAAAGAAAGTTCTATTCAACTAAATAGTAAACATCGCTCATCATTTTTTATTAACCTTTACTTTCCCATAATTTGGAGTCCACGGTCCCAAACTATCATTCGCATAAAAATCCATCGGGTACGCTTCTTGCCAAGTGACCTCATCTAATGCCACCGATGCCTCATACGGTGTAAGTAGAGGCTTTGAAAACGCATAACCCCAATCGATTGATAGGCGTGGGCAGGCGATTTGAATCCATCTAAATATAATAGCGACATTATTTTTATTATGATTTTTTGCTTTATCAAAAGAAAGAAAAAACATAAACTTATATAAGAAAATTTACGCGTCAATATCTTCAAATAGTCCCAACTTGTCGGGAAATATTTCCGAGAGTAAGACACACGTGTACTCGCGTCCTTGCGATATTAGTTTCTCTTCAAGATGCTATTATTTCGTGTTCAGAGAAAACAAATTGTCATATACCTAATTTTTAAGCACAAGTTTGTATAGGAATAATAAATGATTAAAAATTTACCTGCATTACTTTCGGACTACCTTGGCGACCGAGCGTTCCCAATATTAGTCCAAATTTTTTAGCTTTTTTTGCTACATTGATTGCATGTTTTCTAAGTGAATGCATCTCCAAGTGATCGTATCTTTCCCGTGTAAATTTTTTTGAATATGGATCATATCTTTACAAAGATTTTGGGTATTAATGTATTAATTGCAATTTTGTATGTGTCAGATTTGAATTAAGGTATTTATTTATTACCGAAAAGCAGGGATCTCTGGATTTGCAATCATAATTGACTCTAGATGAAACCGCCCATCACCAAGATACCTAATTATTATATAAAGAGTAATCTTGTTAATTCAATTCACATAATAGACAAGAGGGAACTTATAAAGGTTACACTAAAGCATCGTGATCACTCAGTTTTGGAGATGTGCAGCCCAATATCTCGCCCGGGGATAATGGTTTAGTTTGTGGTACAGTCAACTGATAATCTTTTTCGAGTGTCTTTTTCGCAGTCTATCATTATAATAAAAGTTTATTTTGAACTTTGTTAAGATGATTTCTATTTCAAAAGAGGACTAAGATTTACCTGAATAGCTGCAACGAACTGTATCGTTCCAACAATCGTGAGTTTTTTGCCTTTTTCGAAATTTTTGATTATTGTGTCGATAAAATGCTGGTTATCAATTCCAATATCCACGAATACGTATAGAGTTTTGATTGTGGTAATATCCACAGGAACTACATATTATATATTTTAAAGATGAATTTTTAATCGAACAATTGAAAAGAGCATAATTGATCATAGAGTAAAAATGATTAGTTTACCTAAACAACTATGTCCATAATGAACCATAAAATCACAATCTAATGCTTTTGCTGTGAAATCGTCGACACAGCATGCACCGTACGTCACATCTCCCATTACTAATGTTTCGACATTACAGAATCTATATATAATTATTATACAATTAGATTGTCAACAATAAATTTGAATAATTAATTTTATTACCTTTCAAGGATATCTGCAATTGTGCACGCAAACATTAATAGCCCTTCTGGGAACTGTAGTGCGACTTTTTGGTTATTTTATTTTATTTTGTTAGATTTTAAACATCTGATCCATTATTAGTTAATTTCTTAGATGATGATAATAAGTAGAAAATATAGTATGAATTAATGTATAAGGTATACCTTTAGTTGCTCCAAATTTTCTAATGTGCCATACAGTTTTATGAATTTCGAAATTATAGTTTGATGGAAGCTTTTTTAAGCGTATTAAAAATAAATCAATGAATCAAGCCATATATTTAATTAAATGCACTTTATCATACCTGTTCGATAGCACTATTCAACAGCGGATCACTGAGTATTTCTGCCGGAATTTGATTGGCAATTCGGCTTTTTCTAGGAGGATCTTTTTTTATATTTATATATATATTTGGTTTAATTGAATGCCAATTCAAGATAAACATTAAATTGTGGAATAAGATACCTATTGTTGTTACGATACTATCTTCGATGTTACCGATATTTGTATTTGAAGCCGATTTAACAAGCGTCGTTGCCGTCGTTGATATCTGTTGCTTCTTTTTTCCTATGAATCTTTTACGTGGCTTGATTGTTGGTTTAGTTTCCTCCGACATTTCTATTCTAATCAGAATACATATCGATATTTTTGGAAACGTAGATAAACTTTGCATGTGCCACGTGGATTTTTTTACATTATGGTGTTTGTCTAATCTATGATTGGTAATAAATCGTCAAACAATTTAATAGTTTTTTTGAAAGTACCCGCTCTATTTTTACGTTGCCGCTTTTTCCTCTTTTGTGTGAATTCCTTTATTAGCTTTTTTTTTCTTTGTAACTGAGTACTCATAACAATGGCTTTCCAAAGTTTGGTTAATGGAGCGGAATGCTCCACTGGGTCAAACCCATTGTCTCAATTCATGAAAGGTGTTAACGAAGACCCCTCATTGCGCAAAGTAAGCTTTATTACAGAATTCGGGTTCACTTTCTTATGTTTTTTATTATCAAAGCATGCTTTAGGAAGGCGGATTTGTTACTTGTTTTTTAGGAAGCCTTTTTGCCAGGTCCCGAACAAGGAGGCTCTAGTGCGGTTAGTTTTATTTGCCTAAAATGCAAAATATGTTTTTCATAGAATTATAACTTAGGCCTGATTTTCTCATAACAGTTCCGTACGCGAAGACCTACCCAACCCCCTTCTGATCAGGTATTAATATATGAATCAAATTAATTGTTAATGTGGCTTGTGGTAAACTTATAGTTTTCAAATATGGCTCGTATAAATGTATAGTTTGCTGAAGAGTTTCTAAACCAACACCAAGAAGATTTTGGCCCTCAACCTTTAGTTGGGCCAGCTCAACCTGGTCCTTTAATATTGAAAGAACATGGTCCAGAATTTACTGGGCTTAGCGTTGGAGGTAGTTCTTGATTATTTATTGGTATATAGAAAAATATTTGCCCAAATTCATGCAAAATTATATTCTTTCATAAAATGAAGGTTGGGCTACTGAATTCTCGAATCAAACTAATCACGCGCGACAATGGGAACTGGGCAAAGCTGAGGAGGCAGAAATGGAAGAAGCTTTTAAAAGGATGAATATGCAATGTAAGTAGTGAAAACTTTCATTGATTTCCCAATCCGAATTACTTTATATTGCTTATTATACACAATAATCTATCATATACATTCATGTGGCATCTAAAATAATATAGCAACTTGGCAAGCAGAATTTCTCGAAAGACCGCAACTGCCAAACGATCAGATTGCCGAACATCCGCCCGAATTCGAAGCAGTATTTCAAAAAAATTTCGATTGGGCTAGCGAATTCGCACTAAAACAAGACAAAGGAAAAGCAAAAATAGTCGAGTTGGACGATGCATCATGGGAAGCAGAATTCGTAGAGGCACATCGCCAAGCTGAAGAAACACACCAAGATAAAGAAATTGACGAGGCGCTTTCCGCCGAAGAAAACAAATTATTCGAACACGTATGGAATAATGTGCGAGAAAACATTGGCGGAGAAACAGAGTTTGCCGAATTTGATGAAAATAATACTGCTGGTGGTCGTATTGATATTGGCGATTATACTTTTGAGCCGGAGAATCCGTATTCTGCAGTGGCTGATCCTTTACAGGAAGGGATTAATATTGTGCAGGATGGTGGATCATTGTCGGAAGCGGCCTTAGCTTTTGAAGCTGCTGTGAGAAAAGATCCCAATAGCTCAGAAGCCTGGACTTGGTTAGGAAACACACAAGCCCAAAATGAAAAAGAGGAACCAGCTATCAGGGCATTGGAAAAGGCTATTGAAATTGATGGAACTAATTTGGAAGCTTTAATGGTACGAAAATTTCACTCGCCTAAATTCGACTTTTCTTACCGTCGCTTTGACATTAATGTCAAAAAATGCTATTGAACAATTATAGAGTCTCGCAGTAAGTTATACAAATGAAAATTACGAACAACAATCGTATCTTACTCTAGAGCGTTGGATGACGGCTAAATATCCAGAAATAGTTACGTCGTCGGCCCCGATGGATACTGTACATGACACACATTCACGCGTCACAGAACTATTCCTTCGAGCTGCACGAAACGCTCCTGATGGTCAACAAATGGATCCAGACGTGCAAGTTGGCTTAGGAGTTCTCTTTTATGGAAGCGGTGATTATAGCAAGGCCATCGATTGTTTCGTATCAGCTTTGAATAATCGGCCAAAGGTTTGCTTTGGTCTGCTTATTTCTAAAGGAAATAATATTATAAATATTGAATTCTTGGTAAATTTTTTTTCGATAGGATTATCTTTTATGGAACCGATTGGGCGCCACTTTGGCAAATTCAGGACAATCTGAAAAAGCTATCGAAGCGTATCACAAAGCACTGGATATAAAACCTACATTTGTTCGCGCTCGCTACAATCTCGGTGTCAGCTGTATCAATATCGGATGTTATCGCGAGGCAGCCGAACATCTGTTGGGCGCGTTGAGTATGCATCAGACCAGTCGCGAAGACGTTAACGTTAGCAATAGTCTAAGAGACACTTTGCGAAGGACATTTATAATGATGGTAAGTCAATGAATTTCCATCCTTTTAATGAATTCATATAAATTTTATTTAATCTTTTTAAGGACCGACGTGAATTGGCTGATAAAGTTCTCAGTGGATTGGATGTGGACCAATTCCGTAATGAATTTGATTTCTAATAACTTGTACCATACATATTATTGGTTCAATAAAACATTTTCTAAAGGTAGTTTGCGAATTTCATGTACACTATATTTCGGTGTAATATATGGCCTAAAAAAATTTTTGGAAAAATTAATTTTGTCTCCTAAAAACACCTAAATTTTGTATTTATACATTTATAAATAAATACTTCAAAAAGTCTACAAAAAAGTTACTATTATATCATTCTGTAAATCTTTTCTGGCATCTATTTTCCGTATTTTTCATTTTCTTGTGCGAATTTGTTTTGCAGGATTGATCAAAATTTGCGCATTCTCATTGGGTTTTGAGATCATCAGGGATCGGAAAAATCACGTGAAGGAAAATCGATCGTGGGTGTGCTGGGATAGTTCCGATTATAAATTTTCCCGGCATTGGCCCGGAAAATGTCACGTGATTAAACACTGTCCGTAGACTTCCCGTTTCGGGGGTTGGCTAAAGCCTGGTGAACACGTGTAATCCATCCAATAGGAGTGCGTAAATTTTGTCAATCACCAATAAGAATGCACAAATTTTTGATCAACCCGGCAAAACAAATCCGACACAAGATATGAAAAAATGCGAGAAATGTGAATATTACAAGAAACCCGATGCTTAAACCTGTCTTGGAATACTAATTAAAAATGTTAGGAAGGCGATTTTATATACAAACTTGTTCTCTAATTCTAACCCTTACCCTTACTCTAACCTTATCGGTTGCACGCGGAAAATTTAGAGGAACGGAGTCACATGTCCAGCCAACCCCCGTTTCTTCGTGACAGTGCTGAATCACGTGGCATTTGACACAGAAAATGAAAAATGTGGAAAACAAATGTCAAAATCTAGCTTGAAGTACTAATAAAAAATGTCGAAAAAGCAATTTTACATATAATCATATCCTCAGCTCTAACCCTAATCCTAATCCAAACGATAAAATAACCTTTAACGTCAATTTTCTGTGATCACGTGATCTAAGATTTTTGAAGGTCACGTGAGCCTATCACTAAACTACAGGTCGTCACGTGATAGTAGTTTCGCTATCGACACAAACACAAGGTTTGGATCTCAAATTTGCAGAATAATTCACGAGATATTGCGTCAAGTGTAAAACAGCGCATTTATGAAATGAATTTACTAAAACTCATCTTGGTTAAAATTGACTATATATAGGCAACATTTGTCCATTTAGAAATGAAAAACATTTATCGGTTTATCAGTTATCACTGTAAAAGAATTATATTTTCCTTATTAATATCGCGAATATTCACAATTCGAAATTCCCATTCACAGCTACCACCTTAAAGCGCTGGCTACAGTATCCTCCCTTGTAGAAAATTTAAACCTTAATTTAGTCCAATTTTTTTCAGTAAACCCAATTTCTTCTACAAGGGAGGATACTATAGCCAGTGCTTTACGATATTTTTTGAAAAGCATTTCAATCGTATACATTAATTATTACTAGTAATGGAGAACGTTATTTACTGGTTTCACAGCAATAACTTACGACGTCCTATGCCAAGAACAAACTTTCACGATGCACGAAATATTTTCAAGATGTATGAGTTATGCTAGAACTATTTAGTATCGGTTAATTCAAACAAATGCATGCACGCATGGTAAAATCCTATTGATGATTTCATTTTATAACTAACAGTTTAGAGAAATGAATGTTGTGATATTCACAGATATTAATTACACAAATTTCTCCGCTTTGTTTGACCTTCCATGTATGTGCAGTTTGTTTTTTTTTTTTACTTTTATAAATAACAAAACCCAAAATTAAACACACGAGAAAGCTTTAAAATTTCTGATTTGAATGAGTTTAGAAAAGGAAAAATATTTTTCGCGTCATTTAATCAAATTTCTTTCTGCCATTTGAAAATTTAAACTTTTTCGAAGTTTGAATAGGAGATCACGACAGAACAAGGCTCATATCCGAAGCGCATGTAACACTTGTTCAACCAGCATCAATGACATCATAAAACTATGTGTAAACATCAGCCACGCTGTGTATCGTGTGGCTAATTATTAATTTTCGAAGGGAGTTGAGTCATAAAGGCACAATAGGATTGTTACACTACCTTATTTTTCTCACGCTCATTTCTTGTTCTGTTTGTCAATTTTCACACACAAACATCCGCTGTTCTGTGATGGATGACTTCTAATAAAAATATTGTTTGGATATCGATATGTAGGCAAATCCAGATATAGTATTCACTGATTTTGTTGGTGGAAAAGGTGTAGTCGTTCACGAAAGCAACACTTTCTATGTTCAGAACAGTACATTAAACACAATAATCACGCGTTTTTATTACCAAAATCATCGGATTGTTGTTGTTTCATTATCTATATATTTATTTTGACACATAAAAAAAGTATTACTGTACATATATCGATATTTTTTCTTAATTTCCGTAGTTGCAGGTTTCCATGCGATTTTTTTTTAGTTAGATTAAGATTCTATATTCGGCTTACAAAAACTAAAAATTTCTTCAATACACCAACCCTAGGCCTTTTCTTCTTTGATTAACTAATTATGCTGGAAATAATTTAAGCGACTACTTTGCCTCTTTCTCTTCTTTCTTTCTTTCTTTCTTTTTCTTCACATTACTCCACAGACATCCTACACATTAAAATTTTTCTCAAAACGGCAACAATTTTTGTATATATATATTGTGTGCATGTTGGTTATTATACAATACAAATAACTAATGTGCCGGTTAAATTATTATCTACCATAAATTATCTACTGTTTATACAACCATCTTTTTTCTATATAATCTCATCTCCGTATATATTTATATTTATATTTATATTTATATTTATATTTATATTTACATATTTATGTTTGTATTAAATAAGCGAGAACAATTGTAGGAAAAGAGGTATGTACATGTATGTAGACGTTCATTTCCAACTTTGTAACTGCTCCCCTGTGTTTTTTTATTATAGATCAAGTACATTTACTTGACCAATTTAATGACAAGAAGAGATCTTTGCATCAATAATTTTTATATAAAGCGGTTTTTGACTCTTTCTTTTCTTTCGCTCGTCATTTTCGTATCAATTGTTTCTCTGTGTGTATGCAGCGAAACGAGTGAATATTAAACTTTATTTATTCCTATTGATACTTGATTAATTATTATTTCGGTATCCTAAACTTATTGACATTATTATTACATAAAAATATTACCTCGTTATTATTCCCAAAAGAAACTTGGCTCTCTCTTCTTCTATCACTTCTCTTCCTCACCATCACACAAGGCGAAAACAAACAATCTACATTTATATGATTAGTTCGAATCAACAACAAAAACTAGAACAATAACCAACCATTTAACTGATAAACAAAATTGCATATAAAAAATGACCGAGACATTTCGCCAAATACCCGGTCTTTTTATGCCGATAAACGCGGTGGTAAAGGACCAAGCTGGATACACGGAATTCGTGTTCAAAGGAAAATCAGAACAGATGCTCAAAGTATGCGAGTACTTGGACGAACGTGGGTTCATACCAAAGGATCTTGTAAATAATGAAGTTTCCTGGTTCTATGGGTAGGTTATTGTTGTTGTCACATTTTCTCGATAGATGGGTCGATCGGTCTTTTAATTAAATAAAATTAAAAATATAGGAATCTTGGTATTGATGACATGTACTTTGGTGGCGAAAGTGTTGAAACTATCGCTAATCACATTCTGGCATTATATGGCGCAAAGATCTTTGCTTATACAAAAAATGAGAATGTGCTTGATATTAATCTTGAACGTGAAACCGATGAAGGAGCTGTATACATTCACACTTCAAGTCCTGGTGTCTCGCAGTTGCAAGGACCTCAACATGAAAGAAGGTAATAAATCGTGTCATTCGGTCACATGATCCGCTCGTTTTATTAAACGTCTCTATATTTGCTCTTCTCTATATATACGTCTGTTCCTGGTTTTTATATAGAATTGATGAGCGATATTTAGACACAAGCACCACCCGTCAAGCCTACCGTCTGGAATCTTATCGTTCGAACGGGAACGTATCTCCATCAGTCAACACACAACTTCGTTGTTACTTTGTGGCTAAATGTGATTTTGTGAAACCTGATCCAACCTCCGCTGAAGAAACTGATATTCGTCTCGTAGGTGACAAAATATTTTTAGAAAAAGCCACAGAAAACACCCTGGAAATTTATCAGGGTATCATGAAGACGGTATTGAGCAGGACCGGTCCTGTGATTGAAATGTTTGAAGTGGAAGCAAGCCGTGAACGTCGTCTTGTGATTGGATATCGACAGAATAGTACACAATCGTTCTTTTCTGCTATGTCTGATCTTTATCATTTCTATAATCTATACTCTACGCGTAAATATGTTGGTAAGTATTTTATTTCTGCCAATTATTTTCACCATTAAACATAATGTAATATTTTAAATTCTTTTATAGAGCAATTCTCGAACGGTGTCACTATAATGAGTTTATATTTGAATCCATTGCCAAATACTCAATCCGCTCCAATCGAGCACACAATTCATCAAGTAATCAAAGAAGCGTCATTGATCTACTGTCTTCCCACCACGCCATTGCAATCATTCTTCCAGACCGGACAACTTTCCGTGCAAGAAGCAATTTACGGTTACGTAGGCTGGATTTTCTCGCAACATTTTCTCAATCGACTTGGTAATGAATATGCTAGTCTGGCAAATATCATGAATACTAGTGATGCTGTCCACGTGGAGGTTTTATCAAAGATCAAAAAGAGACTACGTCAAGACACTTTTACTCGTGAATACGTTTTGGATATCATTAAACGGTATCCGGATTTGATTCATCTGTTATATATTAATTTTGCCTTGACACATTATGTCAATCCGCGAGCTCAGCCCCTAGAGTAAGTATTTTTTATAAGGACCGTATTATTTTTCGCTTAGTCAAAAAAAAAACTAAAAAAAATTCTCACTTGTTCAATAGACCAAGTTTATCATATCAACGGTTGCAAACTGATGTTGTACTTACCGATGATGAACTACTGGACAAGATAAAAAAGACCACAAGCAACGCCCACGAATTCATGGTCTTTGAGTCATTCCTGATATTCAACAAACATTGTCTAAAAACAAACTTTTATCAACCAACAAAAGTGGCACTATCATTCCGCCTTGACCCCTCTTTCCTCCCAGCAATCGAATACCCCACGAAACTATTTGGCATGTTCATTGTCATCGGTTCAGAATTTCGTGGATTCCATTTACGTTTCCGCGATGTAGCACGCGGTGGTATTCGTATTATTCGATCGAGAAATAAGGAAGCCTACAGTATAAATCTTCGATCATTGTTTGACGAGAATTACGCGTTGGCTGCTACGCAACAACGAAAGAACAAAGATATTCCAGAAGGCGGGTCCAAAGGAACGATTCTTTTGGATATCGGTCAGCAAGACAAGGATCGAGTCGCATTTGAGAAATATGTTGATTGTATACTTGACCTCTTGATTGTCGGAAAGACTCCCGGAATCAAGGAGGTTAGTAGTGGCAGTCAACGTCATCGTATTGCGGAAAATTCACCGCAACTGTTTGGTCAATATGAGGTCAGCTAGTGTGTGTGGTGCTGAAAGAAAGACGCTCAAATTACAAGTGTGCTATGGTTACTGTCCCTCTAAGTAGCTTTGTAGATTCCTGCCGCCATTTGAACGCGATTCTTTTCAGAGAACACCAAAAAAATGCTTTATTTTTTATTGCTTTATGATTAAAGGGATTTATTTTTATTTTATTTAGAAAATTGTTGATTTATACGGCAAACCAGAAATCTTATTCTTTGGTCCCGACGAAGGAACAGCAAATTTTGTGGACTGGGCAAGCGCACACGCAAAGAAACGAGGAGCACTCTTCTGGAAAGCCTTCACCACCGGAAAAAGTCAATCGATGGGCGGCATACCGCACGACCTGTACGGTATGACTACCCGATCAGTACATCAGTATGTGCTGGGAATCTATCGAAAATTAGGTCTTAAGGAAGCAAAGATTTCCAAATTCCAGACTGGTGGTCCGGATGGCGATCTTGGAAGTAATGAGATAAAAATCTCAAAGGATCGAACTGTTGGTATGAGTTGTAGAGCTAGCTTTTTTATGTAAAAAATGAGTTTCATTAACTTTATTGATTATATTAGCTATTGTTGATGGAAGTGGTGTCTTATGTGATCCGGATGGAATTGACCGTATAGAATTGAAGCGACTAGCAAATGATCGATTAATGATTAATCAGTTTGATCTATCGAAATTGTCACATAAAGGATTCCGGGTACTCGTAGAACAGTCAAGTGTTAAATTACCAAGTAAGCATTTTGAGCTAAATTCGATTTTTCACTCTGTCTAATTTATGATTAGATTTTAATATCTTATATTGCTTACTTAGATGGACAAGTGATAGAAGATGGTCTTGTATTTAGAAATAACTTTCATTTGACAACGCTTGTCACTGCCGACTTGTTTGTACCATGTGGTGGTCGACCAGAATCAGTAGATCTTAACAATGTAAACCTTTTACTCGATCTTCACGGTAAACCAAGATTCAAGTATATCGTCGAAGGTGCCAATCTCTTCTTTACCCAAGAAGCCCGTCTCCGTCTCGAACAAGCCGGCGCTATTATCTTTAAAGACGCCTCGGCAAATAAAGGAGGCGTCACATCATCCTCACTCGAAGTTTTGGCTGCTCTTTCGTTAACCGATGAAGAATTCGCTAAAAACATGCAAGTCAAAGACGGAATAATCCCACAATTCTACCAAGAATACATCAAAGAAGTGCATCGTATCATTGAGAAAAATGCCGAACTGGAATTCGAGTGTATATGGCGCGAGCACCGAAGAACTAGCAAATCGCGATCGATCATCTCGGATGAGCTAAGTCTCTCGATTGTGGATCTCAACGAACAACTTCAACAGTCTATTCTCTGGCAAAACGTCAGTCTACGAAAAGCGGTGCTTCGTGACGCGTTCCCGCAGTTGTTGCTCGATCGATTGGGATTGGACACTTTATTGGAGCGAGTGCCCGAAGCATATGTACGTGCTATCTTTGGATCATATCTCGCGAGTCGATTCGTTTATAAATACGGAACACATCCATCACAGTTTGCCTTCTTTGAGTTCATGAATCCTTTCTTCGCTAAGGTTTCCGAGTTTGGGCAGTTTAGTAACTAAAGGAAAACAATGGTTATCACGTGTTTGATTATGGGGATCATTTTCGCTTTGAAGCATGGATGAAAGTAGAATGCGGAATATTTAAAAAACCATCCAAAGAACCTTTTTGTTTTATATGTGTGTGATACTTCAAACCTTTATTATGACATTACTTTATTACAATTGACACTTTTTATCGCTATAAACATATTTATTCACGGATTTTGGATACAATTTTATTTATTTGTTTATCCAACATTTATAGTTTAAAATCTATTACCCGTTTCATCCTTCTATCCTTTTATCCTCCTCTTGCAGTAAAAATGGCATGATATTTAAATAATTGTAAAATAGATTAACTACCAGTAGACTCTGCTGTTATTGTTATTATTTTAATAATAACAGTAGAATTAGTTTTTTTTGTCTAATTTTATTAATATATTAATTTTCTTTTTTTTTTGAATATGTCGATATCTTGTTGATTTGCATTATTGTCATCAAATCGGTAATTTTACTTATAACCTTATTTCCATGATATCGAGCATGATCAAACCACCTAATTGATATTCATATTAAACGAATTAACATCTCTCGAAATATAATAAAAAATGGAATTGACTTTTACTCTCGATTTATTAAAACATGAGCAAGACTAAAAGCTTGTTATTTAAATTCAAGATATTATCGTTATGCTATGGCAAATACCATAGATCCAGTGAAATAATTACGATTATGTATACCGTTAAGATGCACTATTAAGATCCACCACAAATTGTATATTTCAATTTCTATCCAAAAACTACGTTCCTAACTAACTAGTAGAATCCAAATTTTCAAAGACCAAAATATGCAAATGGCTGCAACCAAAGCGGCTAGTTCGCGAGGCATTCGTCTCCAATTCAAACAAAAACTTGTCTCCTCACCAGCAAAACCACTTTCGACAAATGAAGTGTCGAAGAGGTTAAAGGTTAGTAGCTGTGTAGTTCGCGTATTACTAAGACGCGACGAGTTTAATTTCATATGAAATTTTTGAAGGAAAACAAAAAACTCTTGTTTATATTTATGAACAATAACTACTAATAACTGCAAATACTCGTTAAAAAAGAACCTTCACAAGGAACTCGTAAATCTGGAACAAGAAGCAATAGTTACAGACTCATTGCAAGGCGTTTCTCGAGAACTTGTGCAGCCCAGCCTCATTAGTCATAAAGATAAAGGAGTCAAAGCGTATGTCGCGTCGTGTCTTGCAGACTTGTTAAGGTTATACGCGCCACATGCGCCTTATACCGAACGAGAGTTAAAGGTAATAATAATAATTCAGGAAATTAATAAATATATATACTATCATGAAAATAAAGAAAACGTTATAATGTTGATTTACTGATTTACTGCTCTGTTTTTTTTTTAAAATATTATTTTGTCCATTAGGAAATTTTTGAATTTTTTGTTAATCAGCTACAATTTGTAACGGATGACACCGACCCGTATTTTGATGCGTATTTTTACTTGTTGGAGAATCTCGCAAGTGTCAAAATCATGTTACTGATGTTTGATCTACAGAATTGCGAAGAGCTTTTGACACGATTGTTTCGTGAATTTTTTAATGCAATAAGGTATTTTTTCAGTAATGATAATCACCTTTAAATTTCTATATTCCTTGTTAACAATATACCTGTGTGCGTGTTCTCTTTTTCCTATATATACAGAGAAAATACGCAAAAGATTGTGTATGGATACTTTATTGATATAATGCAACAGTTGATTGAAGAAGCGCACGTTCTGCCTCAGGAAACTATCGATATTATTCTATACCAATTTATAAAGAAAAGAAAAGTGAATATATAATTAACAATTCTACTCTTTGCTTTCAATTTCTGTTTATTCATCTAACAAATGACTACATTGTTATAATAGGAAGAACATCCAGCTGCGTATCAATTAGCAAGTGCTATATGTCGAGCGTCAACAGATAAACTTCAATATTATGTTTGCCAGGTTTGTTTAGAACTCCATATAATATGCCTGATTTTAATACATATCTAAACAATCTTGAATTAATATTATCTGATTGATGAAACACCAATTAGTATTTCTCCGAAGTTATTGTTTCTTCGGGCAAATCAGTGGCACCGGAAGTACTAAGTGACTTCAAAACAGCCCATGAACTCATTAAAGAACTCAATCGCGCAGCACCGGGGTTACTTTTGAATGTGATACCACAACTAGAAGAGGAGCTGAAAGTATCTATATATACATACATACATATATATATGCATCGAAAATAAATCAACTCTTCAAGGATTTTCTTTTTAGGAAATTAACTCATGATATTGCTTCGTATTTGATATAAATTATTTTTGTAGCTCGATGATTTCAATCTAAGGATGCTCGTTACCCAGGTTTTGGGAGAGATGTTTTCGGAGAAAGGATCTAGTTTAGCAGTCCGATATGAGAATGTTTGGCAGATTTGGCTTTCGAGGTATATGTTTTTCAAGATCTTGATTACTTTATTATCAATTCCTTTGCTCTCGATTCATATATCCTTTCCTTTTCTATTATGTATGGTTGTCATAAGGCGTAACGACAAAGCGGCCGCAGTTCGAATCGTTTGGGCTGATTATTGTATTCCACTATTTCAGAATCATCCGGAATTGGCGAAACAAGTGAATGGTACACTATCAATTTTCTGTCCACACTTTTTATAGGAATAACTTATCAATTCTTTCTATATATGACTTAATCTATTAGATTCCATTAAATCAAAAATGTCTGATCCTGATGAAAAAGTTCGAATTGCGTTTTGTAAAGTACTCGGTCAAATCGATTATGATAGTGCTCATAATTTGGTCGATGCCGAGCTGCTGAGTGCGCTGGCTAAACGATGTCGCGATCGTAAAGTAAGATTTTTTATTGTGAAATTCCAGGTTATCTAAATACGATAAATAATAATAAAAAATTGATATTGTTAACTTCTAAGCACGGAGTTAGACAAGAAGCGATAAATGCTCTCGCAAGACTATATAATCTGGCATTTTCCGATATGTAAGTAACATAATCTGATATATTCGATAATAATCGCTCAATTTTAATTATATATTATAACATACACACCCTTTTCAGCATCATTAGACAAGACACAGCAATGACAAACTTTAGCTGGATTCCCAAAGAAATATTAAACACACTTTACACGAACGATAATGAAATTGTGTAGGCCATTTTCGGTATTTATGTTGCCATTATTCCGTTTGTTATCTTGTATCCGATTGTTTACAAAATATCATCTGCCAGTACGTGTGTTGAAAAGGCTCTCGAAGAACACATATTGCCGCATGATAATGATGCTTTGGTCCGTGTTGAACGAATTCTTACCGTGTTGGAATCGTTGGGTGGAAAGGCGAAAAAAGGATTTTTCTCTTTGTTCCAAAGGCAGAGAGAGTAAGTTTATATGAATTATTACTATTATAATTATTATATATGCTATTATTAATATATGAATGCGTTGTACCTTTTTTATAATAAAAGCGCGATTTCTGATATGGAAATTTTTTTGGGACTGTGTGAACAAATTAAGGTGAACATTTTCTTTGTTAGAATTCTTCACTTAAAAGCTATTAGCTTTTATTTTTTCTAAATTGTATCTGAAATTGATTAGGGGGAAGAAGGCAAAGAAAACAACGAACAGTTTTCTAGATTGCTGGAGCAACTTATTAAGCGTATAGCAAGTATGTTATTTTATTGACTACGAAATTTCGTTTAACAAATGATTTTGTATTAACCGCCAAAAAATCAGATAAACTTCCAGATCCGCAAAAAGCCGCAAATCATTTATCCAATTTTACCAAAATCGGCGACGCACAGCTATATAAATTAATAAAAGATTGCATGGATCCTCAATCTGATTACAAGACTGTCAAAAAATCTCAGGTTCATTGTCGTTTTCCAGTTGTATATTTTTATTTTCGAGTACTAATCCAATGGCGGACCAATTGTTTATAGAAAGAAGTATTAAAGAAAATAGAACAAGTTTCACCCTCTCTCTACGAGACTTTTTTAACTATACTACGTCGAATCAGCTTGACTATAATCAACAAAGATCTTATTCCATTGCTTATGCATAAAATGGATTCAGTAATGTCTATTGACTCGACAAGTCAAACCTATGAGAACAGGTCAACGAATGAAAATAGTGATAAATCTTCAGTAAGCCAAAATAATATTAATGAATCAACAAGTCAAAGCAATGAAAACGATTCGACAAATCGTAATGAGAACGAATCTATAAATCAACGAAATAGTAATATGGAAAAAGCCGCCCATGATTTACTAAAGGTATCTCCTTGTTTTTGTGAAAATTCAGGATATATACTTTCTTTTTTTTTTAAATAGATAATATTGAACAAGTATTTGTTTCCCAATTATGGAAAATATAGGAAATATCGCTGCGTTTTCCAGCTCTGTATAGATCTCATATCAGTGAACTTACACAATTACTCGCAGAAGACGCTAACGAATTGCTTAGTACGTATTAAAAAGGATTTTAGATCCGAAGTATTTTTATTGACTTAAACTCCTCTGTTTGATCAAAGTCGAAGATAGCCTGGAGGCACTTTCCCAATTCTCAAAGAAATATCCAGATGAAACACCCCAAGATAGGTAAATATAAACAAATATATTTATATTAGATCAAAGAAATTTTTTTAATTTTATTAATTGAATACCTTCAAATAATTAGCATATGCAAACGACGTTTAATGAAATATGCGCTTGAGGGATCACTGCAACAAGCCAAATATGCTGCGATCGTTTTGGGTCAAATGCGCGATAAATACCAAATTTTTACAGACTTATTACAGGTGCATAATTATTATTATCTTTCTATTCATTGCGAACTCTTCAATAAATACATCAAATTATTATATATCACAGAAAATTGTTCCGAATCTTTCACACGACTCTCCAAATCTTCTAAACCATCTTTCGGTACTAAGCGAATTGGCACTTTACTCTTCGTCAAAATACGAAGAAGAAAGTGAGGCTATTACGAAATTCATAATTAAAGAATTACTCTATACAAATAGATATCAGGTAATGAACGCATATGATCATTACACTAATGTATTATCATGGACAAGGATAATTATTTTTCTGAATATTTATAAAATAAAAAATAGCCTGCAAACGACGAAAAAGACTGGGTTGAAGATAATCAGCTGGATGAAGAGTGTAAAGCAAAAGTGAGTTTCAATTTATAGATACACAATATTTGATCTTTTTAATTTTGTATTTTGTATTTTGTGAATAAAAATAAATTTGCTCTTGATAATGAATTAGGTGATTGGTTTGAAGATCCTTGTAAATAATTTACTTTCACTGTCGGAAGAACAAGGCGCAGAAGAATCGGCAAAACCGGTCTTTAAATTATTATGGAAATTAATAAAAGATGGTGGCGAAATACATCCAGAAAAAACCACGAGGTAAGAATTATATTATGTCTATGTTTGTTTCACTGATTCCTACAAAGTACCAAATATTTATGGTGATAATGTCAACATAATAGCCTTGCATTTAAGAGCCGCTTACGATTAGCCGCTGCTCGTGCTATATTAAAACTGGCGCGTAAAAAAATTTATGATAAAATGGTTACGGTTTCAGATTTTCAAAAATTGGCATGGACGATCCAGGTATTTATTTTTGTTTCTGTATACAATATAATATTGATTATGTTAATCACAGATTATCAAAATACTACGCATAGGATCCTTGCTATAATGTTCGTTATGGATTTGCGTCCCGACTCATTAAATATTGTGGTGGATATCAGCTCAGCGCGCGATTCCTTTCAATATTCTTTTTAGTGGCTCATGAGCCCACTCCGGCTATACGAGACATGGCAAGTCCTTTGGTTGATTGATTTTATTAATGATTTTTATTTGACGTAACCGTTTAATTTACGGGTCGTTTATTAGGTTAAAGTGTTTTTGATTAAACATTCGGTCGCTGCGAAGGCTCAACGTAGGTTTAGTCACTTAAAAATTAAAACTTTGCACCATTATTAATATGGCCGATCATTTATTTCACAATGGATCCCAAACCATATATTTAGGTGATAATACGACTTTAATATTTGAGATGTCCCTAGTTCGTCTTATTCATCTTTTATCTCACACGGATTTATTAGAGTCAAATCAACTTCTCAGAGCTACAAAGTAAGAAACAAATTAAACTTTTCTTTGATGGTCTTATTGTCGGTGGCTAACGTGATAATATATCAATCTTTGTTTTACGCAGATACGTAGAGTTCTTTCTGGAGACAATTGCAAATGCCGAAAATATTTCCTTTTTATATTATATCGCTGGTAGAATAAAGCAGTTCCAGGACTTACATGCGCAGGAAGACCCAGAAAACTTGCATGCACCTAAAAAATCCGATGTAATTAATTTATTGAAAAGATTATTATTATTATTATTTGCTCTCAAGTATTAACTTTTTTACCCTCCATTTCGCTCTGTGCCGGAACAAAACAGAATTTATACATTCTAAGTGATTTGACTCAACATATAATCCGTGAGAAATGTAAAGCCGCTTCTTGGATACTACCTTCTTATCCTGGTCAAGTGAAACTCCCTGCCGATTTATTCGCAAGTCTGCCTACTACGGAAAAAATGAAAGAGGTATATGTTTATGGATAATAATCAGTGATCGCTTAATTAAGCGTTATATTTTATTTTTTTGTAAATCACAGGTTATGGAAAAGAATTATTTGCCCGCGGACTTTATAAAGATGTTGGAAAAAAAACAACCAACCGCACATTCTAAACAAGAAAAAGTTTGTGGTTTTTTTCTGGTCATTATTATATCCATACTTCGTTATTTTTTTATTTACATACGATACCATATAGGCAATGAAAAAGCCACGATCAACAAGTTCTACCAAAAAATCACAGTCTCCGAAAAAGCGAAGAAAAATAGACACAAATAAGCCTGTGACACCAACAAGAAGGTATATTTTTTCAAGTTTATTAATTCTCGTGTTGACTCAATTTTTATTTCAAATTACAAATACATTATGTAAAAAAAAAATGCAAAGAACTACACCGAGAGCGGCCAAATCTAAAGTATTATCAATGGAAGAAATAGAAGATAGTGTTGATGAGGGGGAAGAGACAGCCGCTGAAGAAGAAAACCAAAGCATGAAAAGTGAAGCCGATGAAGAGGAGATGGTGGTAGATGATGATGGTGAAAATCCAGATGATGATGGTAATAATAATTAAAAGAAACTAAATTTTATAATAATTTTAATTTTCTCTTTTCGAAGACTCGTTCTTTGTACTACATTTTTAATGGGTAAATAAACAAATATTTAATCTATCCTGTAAAAATCGATACTGGGATCCGTTATTTTTTGTCTAGATGTCTAATCAAAAATTATGGTTTCCAATTCCATGTTTCATCTCTCAATAACGATACTTGTGCTAGTTAAAATGAAATTTTAGGTGTTTAATGAATTACACATTTTTGTGTTTAACAAACTAATCAGCAAACATTTGGTTGCCTTTTTCATAACAAGACTTCACGTGCATTCCGAGGCATATCGATATTCGACAATCAGTTTATTTCATCAGCAAATAGAGTATAATTTAACATTCGGGATATCTCAAATCGCATTATCTTTATGATAACGATAAGTTCTATTAAACTACGGCTCAATTTTCAAAAAAGTTCGTGTTTAAGGTGAGTTTGCTACGTCTGATGATGTGGCATTTCATAATAATAAAAAAATACCCCTTAATTATGATACGCGTAATCTTCCTGACTACTACCATTTCATATGAAAAAGGCCAAACATTCGAAGAAATTTATGATAAAAGAATAGAATGTCACCGTGTACCGCGAATGTTTTCATAAGTATATTGTTAGTATGTATCTGAAGTTACGCTGCCAATATTATGAACGTCCTTTTTATTTGAAAACACATCGTGGCCATATGAATTATAAATATTATTTATATAGAAAATCGGGCCTGGAGTTCGTCAATTAGAAGGGGTTCTATCACGAGAACCTAGAAATACAATTGGAATTCTTGTGATTCCAAATATAAAAGATTTTACTAGGCGATAGAACATCAAAATACAGTATATTACTAGTAGAGCTCCTATCGAACCGAACTTTAGGTCGAGTTCGGGTTCGGTTCGAAATCCGAACCGAACCCGAATCAATTTTGAAGTTGGATTCGGGTTCGAACTGAACTTTTTTGGTTAGTTCGGGTTTAGTTCGGGTTCGGTAGGGTTAAGTTTGAAGACCAGAGGATTAATAATAGGATGACTATATTGTAGATTATTTAAAATTTCACTGTTTAAAAAAAATTTTTTGAATAAAATAATTTTATTTGAAAATTTATAAATTTAAATTAAATAAATATTGTCACCATTTTCAGAGTCATTTCCTATGATGATATTTCTGAAATATGGCGAGTGACTGTGTTCAATTGAAAG